TGATGGCATCGCCATTCCCTCTGGGAGTGGTGGGTGACCTCTCATTTTCTCGTTGTCTCTCTCCTCTTTGGGGATCATGTGCACCCTATAGCAACCCCTCGCCGCCTCCCCCAAAAGAAAGAAAACCAGCCCTGGCCAAGTCAAGCCAATCCATGGAGCTGTTCTCAGAAGCTCAGGGGCAGCTTCTCAGACTCGGTCTATTCACAGGTCCTAGTCAGGCCCCCGAAAGAAGGGTGGGCGCCCTGGGTCACTGCCGCTGGGGTCCTCTTGACAGGTGTTGTCACAAAACGCAGCAGCGATGCAGTCCGGGAGAAGTCCATTTGTTTCCTTGGACAGAAAACTCAAAACGAGCTGGTCAAAAAGGCACAGACAGCCCAAGCGAGGGCCGAGGGCGGACGAACACTTGGGTTCTTAGGTGGCTTTGCTTCCCCAGATCAGAGTGTGGCCCCAGGACTGACGCCAAAATCATTCTTGTGCAGCGAATCTGAGGAATCTAACAACGACGCCGTGTCTGGCACTCACCGGAGGAAGGAAGAATCACGCTTGAATCTGTGGAGGGCGAGGGCCAGGTCTTGGTGCGAATGAGAGGTCTCTGTGAATGAGAGCAGTCTCAGTGCGAATGAGAGGTCTCTGAATGGGCGAGGTCTCGGTGATTTCTCACTTTCTGTCTCTGTCTCTCCAGTGAGCACACACGTCCTATAGCAAAAATATCTATTAAAAAAAGCAAATAAAGAAGGTACAGCAGTCTCATAGCTAGAAAATGGGGCCAGCAGGTGGCATGGCGGCTGTGATACTGGACTCCCACATGGTCGACCGCAGTTTCAGTCCCAGAGGCGATGGCTTGGAACTCACAGCAGGCGCGTGTGCGCGGGTCCCAAATCTTGAGAGGAGAATGTAGGAGAAGAGACTAACGTGGCCGCCACCACCCCTGGCGGGGGCGGGGGGCAGTTCTCACTTTCTCTCTCTCCGTCTCTTTTTCCACTTTTCTGATGAGTGTCATAGGAAAAATCTCTGAAGAAAAAAAAAGAAAAACCATGTGAGCATGCCCAGAACCGTGAGCAGGGCCGGGACTGCGGTGTGGCCATCCTCCCTGGGGGTGATTTCCTCTCTGTCTCTCTCCAGTGAGCACACGTACCCTATGGCAAAAATCTAAAAACCACACAAACAAAAATGTGCCCGTCACAGTCAAATGACAAAATTACAACAATGTAAAGATCTTTTTTTTTTTTTTGAGAGAGAGAATTTTTGCTATAGGGCGTGTGCGCTCGCTAGACAGACAGAGAGACAGATAGTGAGAAATCACCCCTCAGGGGGGATGGCCCCACCGCAATCCCTTCTCCTCTCGGGATCTTAGGCACGCACGCACACGCGCCCATAGTGAGTTTTACTACTTTGTTTGTTTTGAGAGCGTTTTTTCCGCTATAGGGGGCGTGCGCTCGCCAGACAGAGAGAGACAGAGAGACAGAAAGCGAGAAATCACCCCCAGGGGGGATGGTCACGCCGCAATCCCTTCTCCTCCATTCTCCTCTCGGGATCTTGGGCACGCACGCACACGTGCCCGTCGTGAGTTTTAAGCCACCAGGTCCGGGACGCGAACCGCGGTCGACTACGTGGGAATCCAGCGACATAGCCATTACGCTAACTGCTGGTCCCTAACGTAAAGATCTTAATGGGCTTTAGCTACAATCCCAGACTCAGCACTGACTGTATTAACAAGAGTAAGTTCCCATGAGCTGAGCAGGAGGGGCTGTTTTATAGACAGAAGGGTGGAAAGAAGCAGAAAAAGAGGATCGGTCGCTCCAGTTACTTCCTTGTGAGGTGGGTTAGGCCACAGGGAGCTGATGAGTTAACATCGGACCACTCGCGGTTATTTTTGTAAGGGTTAAATGATTAAATGCAAATGATGTAAGGAGTAAAGGTGAAGGAGCTTCGTTATCATGCTGATCAAAACCCGCCTGTTAGGAAGCTTGGCTGTTATCTCTCTCCAGGCTTCTGGGAAGGGCAGATAAACAGCTCAGTCTGGGCGTGGTGACCTGGAGCTTTAGCGTGGGTGACTCCATTTTGAATTTTAGGCAGTGCAGGAGCTGAGTCCAAAACAATGGCCTCATAACATTTTTATTTAATATCCTTCACAACTAAAAGAATCCCAACAAACCCGGTCTCTCTCCATTTCTTGGTTCTGCTTTCCTGGGTGGGTTCTGCCTTTCACTCTGCACCGAGCCCGGGCTTATTCTCCAAGAGCCCTGGTCTCGGTTCTCCAAGCTTCGGGTGCAGTAGGGCAGTTTCTCTCCCCCGCTGGCAGCCGGCGGCCGCAGTTGGAGCTACTTAGTGAGCCTGAGTCAGCTGCTCATCCCTAATGGGCAAGAGCGGAAGTGCCGGTCCTGGTCTCCCACACCTTGGGGACTAGGAAGATGGCGGAGGCAGCCTGCTTAAACCCTCTGGACTGAGAATGCGGGATGGCAGTCCTGGAGGTAAATCTGGGGAGCTGCTCACCCCGATGGGGAGCACGGGCAGGCAAGAACAAGCGCTGTGGACAACGCGGGGTGAGTTAAGAGAGGCTGCAGCTAACCAGGGGTATCTGGGTGATTTGAACAGGGATCATTTTGTTCTGTCTCTGTTTTTCCTAATTCGGTATTATAAGTATGCATTCGTTTTAGCATAGACACGTACAATCAATTTTAATTAAGAAGTGTAAGAATTGGGGGGCCTGCAGGTGGCCTGGTAGTTAAGGCACTACATCCCACATGGCCAGCAGCATGGTTTGAGTTCCAGACCCGGTGACTTGAAAACATATGGGCTGCGTGTGCGCATGCCCAAAAACCCAAGAGGAGGATGGAGAAGATATTGTGACATGGCCATCCCCTCTAGGGGGTGCTTTCTCACTTTTTAAAGAATTATTTTATCCTGAACCAGCAGTTGGCATAATGGTTATGTGGCTGGACTTCCATGTAGTTCCATGACTTCCGGTTCAAGTCCCGGACCCGGTGGCTTAAACTCATGCTGGGTGCGTGTGCGTGCGTGCCCAAGATCCTGAGAGAGAGAGAGGAGAATGGAGGGGAGAGGATTATGGTGTGGCCATCGCCCCAAGGGGTGATTTTTCACTTTCTCTGTCTCTCTGTCTTTCTGACGAGCACACATGCCCTATAGCAAAAACCTCTCCAAAATTTTTTAAAATTTAACTTTATTTATTTATTTACTTATTCTAATTTGATCAGAGAGGGACAGAGAGAGAGAGAGGAAAAGTGAGAAAGCAAGCCACCAGGCCCAGGACTCGAACTGTATTTGGCCATGTAGGAGTCCAGTGCCCTTAATCACCACACCACTTGCCGGCCCCCCTCGCTTTTTTTGTAAAAGAAATTTTTGCTATAGGGTGCATGTGCTCACCAGAGAGACAGAGAAACAGAAAGCAAGAAATCACGCCCTTTGGGGAATGGCCACTCCGCAATCTCTTCTCCATTCTCCTCTCGGGATCTTGGGCACATCCTCATGTGTGCCCGGTGTGCTTTAGGCCGCTGGGTCTGGGACTTGAACCGTGGTCAAATCTGTGGGAGTTCAGCAATATAGCCATTATACCGTCTGCTGGTCCCACTTTTCTCATTGTCTGTCTCTCTCCAGCGAGCACCCCACCGTAAGCACATTTTACAAAATGAAGAGTTCGAAGTTTCTCTGTGGTATTATGCTGCTGCCTTACGTGTGTTGCTTTCGTTTTTCCCGATGCACCTGCTGTTTCTACACTCCCTACCGCCTGCTCCCTGGCTCCCTACCACCTGCCCCCTGCTATGTTCTGCGTGTGCCCACCATGTGCCAGGACTCCTTGTAAAGCTGGGGACGCAGAGTGAATGGATAGAAATGTCCTCCTAGAACTCTTGGGGGGTGAGGACACACACAAAGACGAAGTGGGCGGTGTGAATGGAGGAAGGCGAGTCACATGACAGGGAGAAATGCCCAGGGGCCGGAGCACAGGAGTGCCAGGCTGGGTACTGATGTCGCTTTAGGTGAGCCCAGTGGTGAAGGGAGGCCTCGCCGAGCAGGTGACCAAGGGCAAGGCTTGAAGGAAGTGCAGAGTGAGTGTTACAGGCACAGGGCACCACCAGCCAGCAGAGCCCGAGGTGTGGGTGTCTAGAGCATCCTAGCAGGAGGTCCTTGTGGCTGGAGGGGCTGGGCCAGCAAGGGCTGGGAGAGGGGCAGGGTAGGGGCCGAATCCCAAGGGGCTCTACGTCTTTGAAAGGCTTGCATTTCTGCACAGGGACACAGGACAGGTCAGAGTGCTTCGGACCAGGGAAGGGCTCACTGTGCCCAGTCCCTGCCGTCCCACAGGGCACCTGCCCTCACTTCTTAGAACACTGTCTGCTTTGAAAATGTGCATCCTTGGGACCAGCAGATGGCATGGTGGTTATGTCGCTGAACTCCCACACGGCTGACTGCGGACCAAGTCAGGACCCAGCAGCTTGAAAATCATGCCGGGCACCTATGCGTGTATGCCTAAGATCCTGGAAGGAGAATCGAGGAGAAGGATTACAGCATGGCCGTCCTCCTGGGGGTTGATTTCTCACTTGACCTCTCATTGTGTCTGTCGCTGTCTCTCTGTCTGGCAATGCCCCAAGACAAAAAACCTCTTAAAAAAAAAAAAAAAGACAGAAAATGAGCATCCTTGGGCCTGATGTCTGCCTCACTAATCTCTCAGCCCTGCTGTCCTCAGCCATGGGGCCAAGCCGGGATAAGCCTATCAGGCACTGTCAGGGCAGGCGGCCCCTGCGCCCCATCATCCATGGGGTGGGGTTCCGAGTGGAGGTGACAGGTGGGGCTTGGAGAGTGCTGAGCAAAGCTCACACCAGCCCCTTGGCACCGGCCCTGGGCAGCAGGAAAGCTGCACTGCGTCTGCCCCAGGCTCTCCTCTGAGGCCTCACGACACGCCATGGGAGTAACAACCGCTTACATATGAGGGCGGCCACGCGCGGTGGGAGGGTGCCCGCCAGGTGCAGTCAGGACGTGGCGGCGGGGCTGGTCTCTGACTCACTCCGGAGGGCCCCTCTGTTACTTTGTCCCACCTCAAGCCAGTTTCTGGTTTCTCTCCCAACTTCTCCAACCTCTTGCACCAGGCAGGGTTACGCAATAGGCCGTGCATAATAGTATCAGTTTTACTCCAAACAACATTGCTGGCCTATTCAGAGGTCTCTGTAACAGCTGATGCCGGACGCACAGCCTGGGGGTGCACACTGGCCAGCGTGAACCAGACTGCAGCGCTAGAAGCCACAGGGCCCACCCGGGTTTGGACCCCTGGCCCTGTTACCCTGAAAAGCGCTGGGCACACGTGTCTGTGCCCAAGATTCCGATGAGCTGACGGGCTGGAGGGGGGGACTGTGGTGTGACCAGGGCCTGCCGAGGGTCTCTGTGTCTCATGTGTGCACATGCGCTGTCATGAATAACACAAACTCTAAAGCAAAATGGGTACTGCTAGGAATCGGGAAAGACACTGGCTGCTCTAAAACGGAAAATAGCAAGTGTCGGCAAGGATGTGGGGAACTGGGAACGCTTGCGCGGTGCTGGTGGGATGGAGAATGGACAGCTGCTGAAAGCAGGTCACAAGGTGGACAGAAAGTTACAGCTAGAGTGACCACGTGGCCCAGCGAGCCCTCTTCTGGATATGGGCCCAAAATAATCGAGAGCAGGGCACAGACAGGTCTTTGGGC